CCCCCCTCCCCCCAAATGTGTGTCCATGAAATTTGATAAGTTTCTGGAGATTTTTTTTCGAAAGTGAGTTTTTCAAAAATCAAAAAGTGATTTTGGCCACTTTTTCAAAATTTTCGAAAAAAACTTTTTTTCCCATTCACAAAACTGCAATAGTTTTTCAAGTGAAATGCATGTCCAAACATAATTTTAAATTTCAAATATAATTTTTAATTTGACTTCAAATACTACTTTTTTCTAAAAATTATAATTTTTATGTCCAAACGCTTAACCAACTAAGTCATAATATGTTAGAATACATAGACAACTCACAAGTATGGACCACTTGTTCCCAATGTCTTTACTTCCTGCCTTCCACATTTAAGTTATCTAGTTGTATTATGCACTTTGCATAGTTGTCTTCCCATTAATAAATGGAAAAAAAAAAAGAAAAACATAAAATATGCTCTAAAGACTTTCGCTTAACTGTCAATAAAGTTGGTGAAAATCATAAAAAAAAAAAAGTTCAAATTTCAGTTGAGGCAAAAAATACTATGTGATTCTTTCCACCTATGTCTTGATTTACATGAAGACAGATCTAGAATTAAACTTGATAGTAAGTTTAAATTCAACTTTTGAAGTTCTTTTGCACTAAACGAATTGTACTTTGAAGTTCATGGATTCAGAATATATGAAATTTTAGTAGCTTTTGGCACATATATATAATATTTAATAAAATTTTAATAGCTTTTTCATGCACATACGCATGTGTTTCATGTCGAAAATACTAGGTTCAACTTAACTCATAGCCAATAAACTCTATCCGCCTTTGGTTACTTGATACCTATGTTGCACTCGTACATGGACGAATCTATAGCCTAAATTATGGGGCACATGAACCCATGATTCTTTCGTCAAATTAGGTATTATCTATGTATTTCATAGAACTGATCCAATATTATGTATTGGCACTCATGCTCCATAAAGGCTGAATGCTGCACTTGGTTTGATACTTAATATTTACTCAAAGAAACAACGATCAATTCTCACTTTACATTTTTTCTTCATCCCTTCTTTAGTAGTGCACTCATGTTCTAAAAATCCTAGATCCGCCTTTGCAGTCATGAACGATAACCATGTTCTAAAATTCTTAAATTTGCCTTTGCACGCTCGTGAACAGTAACAAGTATCCGATAGAATAGTCGAGGTGACAAAGTAACTCCAACACCACCAATCTACTTTCTTTTAAGTATTATTAATTAGACAACTTACCATCTACTTTCTTTAGGCCCCTAGGCCCTAGCTATAATTGTTCATTGATTATTCACCTCTAGTCCATTTATATTCTCATCAACTTCACATACTTTATCTTAGGCAAAATCTTCCATTTCTCTTCACACAAAGAAAACAAATTGGGGAAAAACACAGAAAAAAGAAGAAGAAAGAAAATGAATTCTCCTCCAAAATATCAAAATATGTCATATTATGATCATGTCCAAAGGCGCCGAGAAGAAAAGGGATGCCTCTATGCTTGGTTTGTTTTTTTAACTCTCATCATTCTTTTTTTTTTAAAAAAAAAAAAAATGTTTTCGAGCAATTTTATGTATAGAGGGGCGAATTCAAAATTTAAACGTAATATGTTCAATCTTAAGTTCATAGTATGCAAAGCTCATTACTTATGGAACTACAATTTCGTATTTAGTATTTATTAAAATTTTAGTGATTTTTTTACGTATATATCTATGTTCCATGATGATTGCTGAGAATACTAGTTCAGTTTAACTCGTAGCACACTTCAGGGGCGGATTTACTCTATAAATTTGGGATTCTCGTGAACCCATGATCTTATCCGCAAATCAACTTTTCCATGTACATAATTTATAAAAATTGTCTAATATTATCTTTGGGAACCCATGTTGTATAAAGTTTAGTGGTGCACTGGCTGGATGGTTGTTTTATTTCCCTAAGGACAAGGGATCGAATCCTGTTGGACTTTGCGTTAAAGTCGGTGGTGCACCCATGGTTGCAATACATCGACGACTAGTTTAAATATAGTGTAACTATATATGGTGAATTCATTTGAATACTGAATTTAACTTATGTGAACTAATTTGAAATTAATGCATAGTTGACTGATTTATAAGTATTCATGCTCTAATTTTATTTTTATTTTTGGAATTTAAATCTTAAAATTGCAGCATGTTCACTCTATGTTGCTGTTTCTGCTGCTACGAAACTTGCGAGAGCTGCTTAGATTGTGTCTGCTGTTGCTGCCCTTGAAACAAAAAATTACTGTATTTTACAAGATTGTTATTAGTATTTAATATTAGTATTTAATATTTCAATAAATGGGATGTTAGGATGTTACATATCACTATTGTATCTACTATGTTTTATATCCTTGTAATTTAATTTCTCTCTACTCCAAGTGAAATTTCAATACTTTTCTCGAAAAGTTGTTGAATTACAGTCAAACCTCTCTATAACAGCCTCGTTTGTTCTGATATTTTTTGGCGGTTATAGTGAACTGTTGTTATAGAGGACATATATTATAACACAACATAATAATCGGTTCCGAGAAAAACTTGGCTTTTGTAGTGAATAGTTGTTATTGGCGATGTTGTTATAGAGATGTCGGACTGTATATTTCTTTAAGTACATAACACAATATCTTACTTAAAAGACAAACATGTAATTACCAAAAAATAAAAGACAAAGATGTAAGTGTAAATGGATTTTTACATAATTAGTAAGTATATCTCACTATAGAAGAGTACTTGCATTATTTGTTAGGATTTTATTCCATTGACTAGAATTTAGTTTCCCTTATTTTGGCAATTAATAAACAGTTTGTTATTTTCTACAGTATGCTACAGAAAAATAAATAAAATCAGGTTAAATTCAACTGAAATAGTCAAATAAGACAAAACTTTGTGTAAGTCAAAAGTAGAATAATAGTAGTCAAATCAATTAAAAAGGTTTAATCTCAAACTACGCATTTAGATTTAAAATGTTGAGATTATTTAAGTACACAAGTTTTTAATGCGAGAAGGCGAATTTAAAATCTAGAGTCATCACGAAGATATCTCTCCGCAAAGAGTGTCATATGCCATCATTTCATAAAAATATATTTTATCTTAAAATATATTTTTTCTTGAACAATATATTTCTGATACCACTTGAAAGTAATACAAGGTAAAACATCCTCCTTGAAGTCAACATAGTCTTAAACACAAAGTAACACACTTACAAGCCAAATTGTGACAAAACCCGATATCACTTGCATAAAATCCTTCAAGCGTCACTGATCTAGTATCTGTGGTTAGAAACACTATAATCTTATTATATGTATACATATGAAACTTTTCTTTTTATTGCATACGTGGATAACTTCAAGTGAAAGCGAGTTCAGTTGACAACACATAACCTGTTCGAAATCTGCCTCTAACTTCAATTCTGAGCTATTTTAAGGATGGAATCGATCTTTTAAACCCTTGAAGATCTTTGCGTTAATTTCAGCTTGAGGAGGCAGAGGTCTTGGGTTTCTGAGACAATCAACAAATCTCCATAGGCAATTGCAAATAGGTCGACACCAAAAAAGGGTAATCCCTATTTGTCCAATCATTCCTCCTGTGAAAGCAACAATAGCTAGGGGCTCCATGTTCCTATAATTTCTTTCTTTTTCCCGATATAACAAATTAAATTACACTGATAAAATAAAAAGATCTTACGCGACCAATATATATATATATATATATATATATATATATATAACTTGTTTAGATTGAGAGATCTTGTTTCAAGTTCAAAACAAACACAAAAAACTTTTTTATGGCATGAAAGGGAAGTTCTTTTTCACATACATTAAATTTTGGTTGGTGTTATCATAATTACTGAATTAAACAGAACTTTATCTAGTAACATTCTGCATTTATTTCATTGCTAACAGTGATTTACTCTTTGAAGAAACTGCTAGAAGTGTGCCATAAAGTTTGTTATATTAGTGATTTATTTCATGCATATTAATTTAGACGCTTTTAACATAGCCATGAAATTGGTATAAGACGATTTATTAAATACATTAATTTAACTTATATTTATGGTTTTCATTAATTGCAATTAATAAAGATGTTAAAAATGTATTGCCTAGGCTCTTGCTATGGTATGGTGGTCTAGACTTTAAGGTGCCATTTGGTTGGAAACAAGTCATTCCAGGATTAGGATTAAAAAATACTATAAGCGCGGGATAATTAATCTTAGGATTAGTTATACCGCAATTTTATCCCAACCAAACATGAGATAAACTCATCTCAAATTTAGTTACGAGATTAATTATCCCTTATCTCTTGTATCAAACGAGCCCTAAGATAACAGCTATGCAAATCACTATTTTTGTCAATAAACTTCCTGCAGTTTGTCCAGAAAGTAGTTTGATTAGAGTTTATGATTATACCCACGAGAAAAAAAAAAGGAAAACAAAGTATTTTCTTTCGATAACAGAAACCAAATAAATCATAGAGAACATTACCTCACAACCATCAGTATGGTAAATACTTACCCGCACCCGGTGTTTACACCAAACTTAGGTAATTTAACTTTTGCAGTTAAAAGTTACAGTGAGGTTTGGGCACAACAAGCAACCCTATTTTACAGTATCTGAATGGCCTAGAATGCCTGAACATACATAAAGCTAGTTGAGACCTCTTATCTTATACCTTTCTACAATATTTACTAATTCTACCTCAAAGAAAGGAAGGAACCAAAAATAAAATATTGAAAACTTCGGGAAGGGGCGATACCTAAGTGAAGAAGGGTACAGGGACGGGTCCATTATCCATTGAGTTTCAAACTGTGCGCCAAACTGGTCCTCGAGGATTTTTCGGGTTTGTACTCTAAACAGCCTCTGCTTTGCAGGTTGTCTTGTAATGTCCAGTTTGATTGCACTTACCACAACGGACAGTATGCTTTTCACGGTTATGATCTTCCACACATAACCGCTTCTTTTCAGGTCGTCCAGGTGGTCGACGACACTTGGGTGGCCGCACTAGTCGGGCTCTCGACCATTCAAGTTTATCAGAGATGGGGTATACCTCTTTACTATAACTCTCGCGGTAGCTAGCTGCAGTGAAATATTTCTCTGTGAAGTCATACACATCCTTTTTACATGATAAGAGAGCAGCAACAGCATGAGAACACGGCATCCCATACAACTGCCAATCACGGCAAGAACAAGTTCGGGATCCTATATTCACAATGTCTGACCGCTCTGCTGAGAGAACTTCAAATTCAACTTCATCTGACCTTAACACTTTATATTTGGCAGCAAGAGTTCTTGCTTCCATAATGCGCTTCTCAGCAGATGGAGCAAGGGTTGAACTCCATGTACTACTCCTTGACCGCCGCTGTTCGAACTCTTCCATTAACTTACTGTGAATCCGTTTAATCACCTGAATAATAGGAAGCTCCCGCGCTTCTAGAATCCATTTATTGAACTCATTAATGTTCGAAGAGAAATGACCATATCTTGTTCCGTCTAAATGTATTAAAGCCCAGCACGAAGGAGGATACTGTTGAAGCCACGCCGCTGCATCTGAAGAAACCTCCTCAATTTCAGCCATTTTCTCTTTAAACCCTGTGGTGGACGTAGAATATGCGGCTTTCCAGAGGAGTTGAACAAGCTTTGAATTCTTGAACTCTTTACTGATGCTTTCACTCAGATACTGCACACAAATTGCATGACAAGAAGAGGAAAATGTCCTCTTCACAGCATCTGCAATACTTTTTTGTCCATCAGATAGAAATGTAAGAGGTGATATCTTCTCAGTGCTCATCTCTAATGCCTTGCGCAACTCTAACAAGTACCACATCCAGCTATCATCATTTTCTTCATCGACAACACCAAAGGCAAGCAGAAATACTCCACCATCAGCATCAAAAGAAGTGGCGGATAATAAAGTACCTAAGTATTTGCTCTTAAGCTGGATACCACCAAGACAAATAACAGGCAAGCAACCCTTCACGAACCCATGAAGAGAAGCATGAAAGGAAATGAAGAACCTCTGAAACCGACTCTCTGAACCAGCTGTAAAAACCTCAGCATAACTTCCAGGATTTGTCTTCTTGATTTGTTCACAATATGTAGGTAATAGACAGTATCCTTCTTCAGAAGAGCCATATATAGCTTGCAGCCCTCGTTCCTTGGCCCTCCAGGCTTGTTTGTATGGTATAGTTATCCCATACTGCTTATAAATATCATGCAAAATGTCTTTTGGCTTGTAATTTATGTTGTCACGCAAACGCTCCTCTATGAAGTTCACTATCCAATCAACAGAAGCCTGATGTCCATTTTGTGCATTTTTTCCGCAGGTATGTGTTCCCTCAAGGCTTCTTATAGTAAAGGTAGGGGCATTGGGAAGCTTAACTGCACGAATACGCCACGGACAACCATCTGAGGCACATTTTGCACTGTAGCGAATCAGGTCACTTTTTACTATGCGAAGCTCAAAATGTTGTGCAATAGCAGCCTCTTTAATTGCACTGCGCAAGGCCTTGACATCAGGAAACTCTTGGCCAACAAAAAAAATTTCATCCTCCATGAAACAACAATTTATGGAATCTCCACTTTTAAACAGCTAAAGTCCCAACTTAGCTTATTGGGAGTTGACATGTGAAGGAACTGAGGAAAGCAGACAATGCATCCAAACCTGTATATTCAACACGCAATTGCATTAGCATGAGCCAGCAGTTTGAAAATGCATAAATCTTTCGTCAAACCTCTCAAGCCTTGATCAGCAAAGGTCAAAATGGTTAGATGCTTCATCAGCATAGGGTGAAAAAGGTCCTAATAGAAAATGTTTGCAAACATGCAGGTTAAAAAATATGACTTTTCTCGACCTAGTTTCTAGGAAGGTTTATGTCATCAGACTCAACATATGTGCTAATAAAATGAAAGAATAACTTTTGATAAGAAAAAAATGAAAAGAGCAGTTCCTTGGACATAATGCAAAAATCCCATTCGAAAACATAATATCGTGCCTATTCTTTTAGGCATCAGTTGGCTATAAAAGAGATCACTACGAGACTGTGGAACAGATCGGTAGACTGGAATTTAAAATCAAACAAATGAAATTACTTCATACGATCCAAAATCGACACAGATTGAAACTAAATATATTTCGAATACGGCAAGCAATAACGTCGCAAAGCTGAACATAGAATAAATGCAATGGACTGTGAGGTTATGACCTGTTGCATAATCCAAATCATATGATACTCCCACTAAAGATCTTCAGGACATAGAATCTAGTAGAATTAGAGAAATGCTTGATCCACATTAAAGATAAAAACCAAAGTTTTGCTTTCTATATTTCCAATAATATGGGATTTGTAGTGATTGACTGATTGATATTTCCTACAATTAAAGAAAATAAATTAAACTACTAATCCGGCTCACGCCGTAAATAGATGCCCCCTTGGTCCATTTCAAATTCAGCCAGAGGTCTTTGAGTACAAATTCTTTTTTTTGGGACCAAGAAATATGATTAGATTGAGCTTTGAAACTCGGTGGATAATAGGTTCACCCCTCTACCTTTCTCGAGTTAAATACCAGCCTTGATTCACCAACCAGGCTTCGAATTCATTACATGTGTCTACCACACATCCAGCGAGAACACACATGGCATGGACTACCAAGATATCTTATTATTGATTGCTCCCTAAGATATCACATCGATAAGGACCTAGAGAGCTGCCTTTGCTTTTGGCATTCCTTCATAGATCTCCAGATTTTAACCATACACACGAAATTCCACTCTCCTTGTCTCACTCAAGTGAATCCGTTTCGAGAGCATTCCGCCAATTATTGGCGTTGTAATACCTTTTGCCCTACTTAACAAAAGATAGGACACAATGGAAGAAAAGGATTTATATAAACGATACATGTTATTTGAGAATATGTTTAAGCCGTTAGCACCTTTACTATGTCTTCGTTTAGACTTTCAGAAATTTATACATTTAGAAAATATCCAGGCCTTATACTTTATATTTAGATTTGCATAATATTGGCATGAGATGAGTTTAAATGGAGTAACATGGTTAGAGAGGATTCATATTGCCAACCAAACTTGTTTGGCACTGAGGCGTAGTAGTTGTGGTTGTAATACCTTTGCCTTTGAACCCCTGGCTGCTCTTTGAGTACAGACTTTAAAAAAACGTGACCCAGTCTCTCCCAGCACACTCAAGCTCATTATTAGTGAACAAAATCAGCTGCACATTGTATCCTTGGCGATTCAAATCACCTCGCCTAACCCCCCTAATCTAAAACTTACCCCCACATTGTATTTACACCAACTCAATGAACATATGACACATATCTTCACATACCACTCTTATCACTAAATCATAGTTAATCAATACTTAATTTATGAACCAACCATGGTAAATTAGAATGATCTGGTGTAAACACTAAGTTTTTACCATTTAATTGCATATGAGCAACCAATTGTGAAAAGTCAACCTAGTTATCTCCAAAATCCCATGGGATAGAAAAAAACATAGATCAATATGATAAATTTTTTATAAGAGCATTTCCAACATAATACTGCAACATGCACCCAAGGGTGTCACCTAATAGTCAATAAAGTGGGCGGAGAACTATAAAATCTCGGGTTCAAATACCAGCGGTGTAAAAAAAAACACGGGGTGATTTCTTCCTATCGGTCCAAGGCTCCAAGCCTTAGTGAGCAGAATTACCCACCTATATAGGTGGGAGTATATCGTACCTGGTGGAATAGTTAAGGTGCACTCAAGCTGGCCCGAACACCACTACCATTAAAAAAAAACATAATACTGCTAAATTCTTTGTAGCTTATATAATATATACTAAAGAAAACTTCAATTCCTCAACACAGAAATTGGAAAAAAAAAACTAGAGAATAGTGCCCATGAAAAGAACATTTAAAATTACTAATAGTTTTAATGAATTTTAAAAGGGGAAATAGTAAAAGAAATGGAGGAAAGTTGTAACCGTTACCTAAATCGGAGTAGTGGACGGCGGCGATGGGCTGAGGAATCAGTAATATGGCAGATGACGGAGGTTGATTTGGGAATTTTCCGATCACCGTTGGACGATTTTCGAAACCCTAATTCGATGTTTTGTTCACAGAGAAGTAGAAATTAGAAAATATTTTTGCCTAACCCGTTTTTGAGTTTGTTTGCTAACTTGGTACCCGTTTCGACCGTTTGTTTTGGTTTAAGCTTTTCGTAAAAAAGAAAAATCATAAATATTTTGGAGAAGGTTTTGGAATATTTTGTACTACTACTAACCTTCTCCTTTAATTCTCGATATCCACACCCTTCTATCGGGGATGTCTCATTAAACTTAAGTTGAGTCATATCTCGCCTAATCACTTCTCCCCAATACTTCTTTGGTCTATCTCTACCTCTCCTCGTACCCACAAAGTTCAGTCTCTCACACCTCGTTACTGGGGCATTTGTGCTTCTCCTCTTCACATGCCCGAACCATTTCAGCATCCTCTTCATTTTATCCTCCACATGGGCCACTCTCCCCTATTTTCAAATATTTTCGTTCCTAATCTTATCTAACAATATAGTTGGTCTAACTACCACTTCATAGAACTTATCTCAAGTCTAAGTGACACCTTATTATCACACATGACACTGAATGCGAGCCTCTATTTCATCCACCTTGTTCCCATACGATGTTTGACATCCTCATCAATCTCCTCATTACCTTGTATTAGTGACTCAAGGTACTTAAAACTTCCTATCTTAGGGGGTGACTTGTGTATCAAGCCTCATATCCATGTCTACTACCTGAGTTACTTTGTTGAACTTGCACTCAAGTATTTTGTATCCTACTCAACTTGAAACCTTTAAACTCCAGGGTCTATCTCCAAACCTCCAGCTTATCGAGAACACCACCCCGCATCTCATCAATCAGAACTATGTTATGTGTAAATAGCATAGACCCAGCACTTCCCCTTGAATGTGCTGCGTTAGTGCATCCATTGCCAATAAAAACAGGCTAAGGGTCAATCCCTGGTGTTACCCCATCATAACAGAGAACATTTCGAGTTTCCTCCCACTTTTTTTATTCGGGTCTTAACTCCATCTTACATGTCCTTAATCGCCCTAATGTAGGCTACGTGCACACATCTAGCCTCCAAATATCTCCATAAAGTCTCTCATGGATTTTTATCATATGTTTTCTCTAGGATGATAGGATTTAGTCTTAGACTGCTAGTGGTCAGTGTTGTGTTTACACTACTTTTTCATTTTCATAGTGCCGGACATTATTTACTGGTCATTGTTTCTGCCTTTCATCTATTCACTGATTCTTATGTTGTTGTTATTATTTCCATGATGGTACTGATGTATTTTTGCTTTTTGTTTTTTTGTCTTCTTAAGCCGAGGGTCTATCAGCAACAACCTCTCTACCCTATCGGGGTAGAGGTAAGGTCTGCGTACACACTATCCTCCCCAGACCCCACTTGTGTGACTATACTGGGTCGTTGTTGTTGTTGTTTCTCTAGGTCAATGAACACCAAATGCAAGTCCTTCTTCATCTCCCCTATACTACTCTACCTATCTTCTTACGAGGTGAATGGCTTCCGTAGTCAAACGACCCGGTATGAATCAGAATTAATTTTTGAAAATAGACACACTCCTCTTCACTCTCACTTCTACCACCCTCTCCCAAACTTTCATAGTACTGACTTAGCAGCTTGATATCCTATAGTTATTGCAATTTCAAATATCTTTATTGTTCTGTATAACAGGATCTCAAGTTCGAGCCTTAAAATAGAGAAATTCTCAGTAAAAAATCTGGATTGGTCGGGTAAGGGTACCAAATATAAATGGTTAGGTTATAACCCAAAAAAAAAATGCTCCCTAAAAATTAGAAATTTCAAATAATTAGAAACTTTAAGAAAAAAAATCGTTTCTAATTACTTTTTTAATATTATTTTCTGGCCGCAGTAGATCCTCCACTCAATTATTGTGTTTTTGTTGTATGATTTTGCAAATTGCAACAATCTAAGCTTACTCTACGTGCATTCCCCAATTTACCCTTATCTTTCCCTTTTCATGATTTCCATTTTCAAAGTTCCTCTCTCTCTCTCTCTGTGTCTCTCCCTCTCTCTCCAAATTTGCCTTTTCACAGATATTTCTATAGAATCACAAATCAATCTCAAAGGCTATTTACTTTATATTTCTTTACCAAAAAACAACACAAAAATACAATCTTTTTGCAAACCCCAGATTCCCATATTCACAGAAATTTCAATAGAATCACAAACCAATTTCTAAAACTATTTTTTTTAATTTGTTAATAAAATGGACCTAAAAATACAATCTTTTTGCTAACCCCAAGATTTCCCTTTTCACAAAAAGTTCATCAAATGGGAGAAGAGAGCACTTCAAATGATAACAATGCAAATAATGATAATAATGGAAGCAGCTATGAGTCACCAGTTATATTGAATGTGTATGATCTTACCCCTGCTAATCAGTACACTGTTTGGTTTGGCTTTGGAATCTTTCATTCTGGTATTGAAGGTAAGAAAATTTTAATTTTGATCTTTTTGGAGATTTCTATTTATGGATTTTCTTAAAGTCTGTGTGAATTTAGATATTTTTCTTTGATATTGCTTATCATTGTTAGAATTTAGATGTGGGCTATTGGGATATTGTTGTGGGATTGGTGATAAGGAAGGTATAGCAACTAGCAGCAAGTTTTGAGCTCATGGGTGGGGTTGGGGGTTTGGGG